GATCTTCAGCACGAGTTGGCCTCAACAACACTTAAACTGCGCATTAAAAAGATGGGAACAGGTAAGGAAACCTTACTTTGTGACACATCTACAGGTAGGGATCGCCCGATCGTGCCGAAACAATATCGACGCAACGTCTTCGATACGTTGCACAGACTTTCTCATCCAGGTGTTCGTGCAACCATCAAGCTTATAGCAGAACGGTTTTGCTGGCCTGGTATGAATAAAGATGTGAGGGAGTGGGCACGTTCCTGTGTAAGCTGTCAGAAATCTAAGGTTATTAGGCATAACAAATGTCCCTTAGGCTCGTTTAAAACTCCCGATGTTCGCTTCGATCATGTTCATTTGGATTTGGTAGGACCTTTACCAGATTCAAATGGATATTCTTATCTTTTAACATGCGTAGACCGTTTTAATCGATGGCCAGAAGCAGTACCCATCAGAGATATTACTGCTGAAACAGTGGCTCGTGCCTTCGTCGAGAGGTGGGTAGCAAACTTCGACTGCCCAACAACCATTACTACAGACCGTGGACGTCAGTTTGAATCTGAACTGTTCCGTTGTCTGACCATGAAACTAGGAATCACTCGCTTCCGAATGGCGGCCTACCACCCACAAGCAAACGGGTTGGTAGAACGTTTTCACCGACAACTAAAAGCGTCACTATCAGCCTCAAACATTTCTCAGTGGACTGACGCTCTTCCACTCGTCTTACTAGGCATACGCAATGCAGTGAAATCTGACATTGGATACACTGCATCTCAACTCGTTTATGGTACGACCCTTCGACTTCCAGGAGAATTCGTGGATCCTTCATCCTCTTCGATGGACATGGATCTAACCTCCTACGCGAACAGGCTTACAAACACAATGCGTTCAGTTAAACCTGTTTCCACTCGACCACAATCAACTGATGTTTTCGTTCAACCTGACTTACTACATAGTACACACGTTTTCGTGCGTCGAGACTCGCATCGACGACCTCTCGAATCAACATATGAAGGACCTTTCAAAGTTCTTCAACGCGAATCTAAGTACTATATAATAGATAAGAACGGAACCAACGAAAGCATCAGCATCGATCGCCTCAAAGCAGCGCATTTAGAAGGAAATCCTATTCACGTCGATTTTCCTTCAATACAATCGCACGACACAACTCCTGCGCTTATAATGCCTCAATCGACAGCAGACACACACGTTGATACTGCGACGGTATCCGAAAATAAACTCAAAACAACGCGTTCTGGAAGAAGAGTAAGATTTCCAGAACACTTGAACGATTACTGCACGTAAGATACAAGTTAACATTTTACATCCTCTCGAATTTCCCTTTGTACTACATATAATTTTTTTTAAAAAAAACCTGAATTTAATATGCTTATATATTATTTTTTTTTATTTCAAAAAAAAAACAAAAAAAACAACGATATTATAAAAATCTTATTTTACGCTACTACGTGAGCATGAGTTTGTTTTACTTTTTCTTCGCTTGTTTTGTGTTTTCACGCGCGTACGAGTGTATTCCGACATGCACTTACATATTTTTCTTTCCTTTTCCAGGACGACTGGAAAAGAACGATGAAGTTGCGAAAAACGAAAATCTGCATTGTACCTTTTTTTACTATATTGTACATCATGGTCCATTATAGTAAGGAAAGACGACCAGACGCTGCTAAACCTAGCAAGCTATCAGAAGAGTGTTTACCAACGAAAATCTCGTTGGGTTTAAACTTCTGGCGGGCCACGTCTTAGGGTCATCACTACCCCACTAGGGGGGGAGTGATCTGTAGCGGTAAATAATTCCCCAAAATCAAATAGCTCTGTAAGTTTTCGACATTGGATGCTGACCATAGTTTTAGTGGACTCATCTAGCGGAAGGCGCTCGGTCAAGCATCCGCACCAGATCACGTGTGGGAACGCCGTGCTCAACATCTGCCTCAATCGCTAGCCAGATTAGTGCCAACGATCCTCGATATATTGATAGCTTATCAAATATATCTTCGATCTCCTCGCTTCTGTCTTTTGATTTTACTTGGTGGGTGCGCTTCGTATTAGAAGGTGTTACTGGTTAAAGCGTTGTCAAACTCCGAATACCTGTGGCATCTTCAGTAGCTTATATATCTAACTGTAGAAGGTGATATTAACATATTGGTATGTGTTATAAACATCTACAGCATATACATAATATTGACAACACTAAGGACAGCTAATATTTTCACTACTAGGTTATTTCTGCCACAAAAGTCGAACAAAACAGTGAAAATCAGCCAAAATTGTAATACAGAAGGGAAAAACGATAAATCTTATCATGGTATCGTTAGTTGTAGCGCAGTTTTGGTAGCCTTGACGACAATACAATTTTTATGACAATATATGCCTAGATAATGTCATTTCATATGGAAATAAACGACTTGTCTACTCTGTTTGTATAGTTAAGTAGAAATAATTGCCAGTCTGCGATGCAAATATGAAAAAACTATTACAGTAGCACCTGTATAATGAATTTTCAAGGACTTCACGATACCATGTAACGCAAAATGAAAAAACCCCTTTTCACTTAATTATGAAGACGGAAAATGATTTTTCAAATTTAATTATAATAAATTTCAAATTTTGTCTGTGCACAAAGCAGAAATGAATAAGTAGCGCAAAAACGTGTCGTGATACCCCTGAAGCGCTGCCGCAATTAAACGCAACTCAATTTCGTAAATGTGCCCTTCAGCTTAGCAACCAATCAGAATGAGGCGGGAATCATTATATCCGCCATCTTTGTAAGTAATGACTGTCGGCTTTCTTTGTTCTGTGCTTCTTTCAGCTATTTCTTTTGTGTAGCTATGTAATTTAAGGTTTCGGTCTGCTAAAATGCCGCAGTTACTGTAATGTTCTATATGTTGATGTGGAATTTTTTTCGAATGAGCGACTTTTTCTGTTGCTTCTACTCAAGCCAATGTATTTCTTCAGGCAATCTGGCTAGTCCTGTTATAAAATAATAATGCGTTTTATGTTGAGTTGTTTTTTAAAGATATCGGGAGCCAAGGTTAATTTTGTTAGTTTAAATAAGTGTTGAGACTGTATGGAACTCGAGATGTCGGCATAATCGTACCTAATTGGGAACGATCTTTTCAAACGACGGGGTATAAGAAGTAACTCCAAAACACTGGAAGTAGTTGTGAGACTAAAGTGGACATCCGATATGCTTTTAATAATCTGCTGTTACTTGGGCCTCCCGTAAAGTTTCATAGGGCCATAGCTATAAAGCTGAATGACTTTGTAAGATCTGTGACGGCTCATTTCTGTTACATTCTAAATAAAAGATAGTAATGGATTTAGTCAAGAATGTTTAAAAGGTAAATAGACAAATTACATGTTTCTAAGGAAAGAATTTATGCAGCTGTGATTTACCTGGACTTCATAAATATCAGATCACGCCAGCCAAAAAACTTGTGCAAAGTACAGCATCGCACAGCTTTTCTTATTTTGCTCACACTTAAGTATTCCCATGCATCTGCGTCCAATTTTACAGTAAGATATATAAGTTGATTTAGTATCTGGTAAACTAAATGTTCCAGCTGTCAGAAAGACTCTTAACACTTGTCCACAGCCATCAGCATTTAATTAAGACAGAAAACTCCTCATTTAAGACTGTATACTGCTGTTTTGCAGGCAAATAAAGGCTCAGACACTTAGCTATCCTGCTACCGATGTTATTGCTGGGGAAATCGTTTAATGACAGTGGTCTTGAAATATGGACAGTGTTAGACGTACTGTCTAGAAATTAACACCAAACGTACTCAAAGCTATCAAATAATTTATGACAGCAACAGTACCAAAAGCACTTTTCCCTATTTTTAGTCAGACTGATTTGAATCAGTATACTCATTAAAAACAGGCAGCTCTACTTACTAAACTGGTCCGTTTCGCTACAGGCTTCAACAAATATACTTAAGTATACCATAATTCTTTCGACTAAACTGAATTATACGACAACCAAGAATACTAAACTAAGCAAGTGTCATGATTATTGTTTCATTTGCACAGACATGTTGCTCAAAGTAGTTAAATGGACATAATTCAGCCGATAAAACCAAAACACGAAATATAGGCCTATCGAACTTACCGAACAGACGACAAATGATATATTGCTTTCAGACTGAAGACAACAGTCAGTTGTTCATAAAAACATAGTTTACAGTACAACAAACCTTCCTTCAGTAACATCATGCACTAACGGTCTATCTGGAAACAATCAACTATGAGATTAAATTCACTATGACTTGGGATATCACCCCAGCGAGCAATGAATGTACAGTGTAACGCAGTCACAAGTGGCGAATAAAAATTATAGCCAGAGCAATATTAACAACATAATCTAGTTGATTAATTAAAAATACATTATGAAATGACAAAATCTGTGATTACTTGAACGCACAGATGACTCTGGGCGATACATTAAGTTTACATGGTTGCGTTGCGGATAAATTCACCCGAATGAACTATATCAAGGCAACGAGAAGTGTCTTTCCTTATGTGCTGCAGTTTCCGTAACACCAAGTCAGCGCTCAGGTTCACTACAGAAAGTCCTGTTCATTTGCAGATGAAGCTGTTGTCAGTGAAGTTGATGTGGGTCAGTCAAAATATCCGGGAGTATTGTACAGCCGAAAGTTTGGCGGCGTCACCGTCGTTATTGGTCGGGCCATTGAGACCTAGCAGTCGGAAACTCCAGGTTTGGCTTGATGTAGAGGATAAAATGAAATAGTTACGGATCAGAGTTCTGAGGCATCTAGCCTAAAAAACAATCGACATTTCATAATGTTACGCCTTAATTCCTCAGAATGCGACAGTGTGTTTTACTGGCTTTAACTAAAACTATTAACAGAGTGGGATACTGAAGCATTGATTCTTCAGTCAAACTTGATAGGTGAAATTGATTATTTGAATATGATAGGTAAAACATGTTGATATTACAGAAATGTATATTTTGGTGTTTTATTGTTTGCATGGCTCAGAGAAGAATACGTAACCAACCGCCAATTCAAAGGTAACGTTACACAGCGATGGTCGTTAAAATTACCCGAGAGGACGAGAGACTCTTGGAGGAATACAGTCAAGCAGCGTCAAAAAGTTCGGAGAAGCTAGTTTACGTTAACGCAATTATGATATCCTCGATACCCATTTGTATGTTGTTAATATGTAAACCTAACTTAACTAGGGTTATTTTGGGGCGTTCACAAAATGCCTCTGATAGCTAATTCATTCTTGTATATAATCATTTCACTGGCCTCAACCTTCCTGATATCTATCGCATACAAAAATTCGAAAACACCTTTGATGGAAAGGTGATTATTTGTCTTTTCATACATTGTCTTTAGGATTGCTATCCGTCGAACCGAAGCAATTACCAAAGAAGTCAATAACGAAGCTGGTAAAGACAAAAAGTTATCGAAGAAGAACAGAGAGGATGTGTAAGTGTGACTTGTGATTATTTTTTCTCAGTGTACGTGAACGAACGAAGAAGGTTGCTGACTACGAATCCACAACATTCTCAATATTTTACAATAATTGTCTATTTCTCCTAGTCTTACTGTTACTTTCTGCCGTCCTTCATCATTTCTCGAATCAAGTGTATCCTTTTAAAGTGTTGTCAGAATCGTTCACATATCCAAGCTACCAACTTTGTGGGAATTTTGGTGAAACTCTCGAAGTCAAACGAACTTAACCAATGTTAAAGGGGAATTTCAGGGAAACATTGGGGAATTTTCCCAGGTCTGGGGAAATTTTGGGGGTTTTGTGCCATTTCTCCAAAGTTAACTATAGCGGCTTCCACAATAGTGGACAACAACTGATAAGCCTTTTTTTCTAGTTCATTTTTTATTGTTGTTGTTTTCTGGTAAATTGTTTGACACAGACAAGTGACTTGGAATAATGTATACAATGCTTGATTGTTAATGATCATGTTCTGTTGAACGCATCTAACACAAGAATTGCGGTCACTATCCTAACGGGTGTTGAGTGTTGAGTCTGCGAATATGGAATCAAGGTTTCCCAACTTCCCTATGTTGACTCTCTTTTTGTCCATTAACCCGGTTAAAGCGCCGGACATTCGCTTTCCGTCTCAATTTCATAAACAACACCCCCGCCACGAGAAGGCAGTGAGTAGGACTTCCCTGGCAGTGACTATGTACGCGTGGCCATGTGAGAACATTTTGAGAGGGTGAGCTGTTTCTCCCCACCATCGGCCTTACCAGGGCATTTGGGGGCATCTTAAGGCAATGCTATTAATCGCCGAAAAATTCCCATTATATTAGAACAAAATTGTATGTACAAAGAATATTCTTTTCACTAATTTATCATCAGGTTCTACAATTATAAATCCAAATTAATAATCCATAGAACTGACCAGGTTTAAGATAGAATACATCATTTGACAACTGTAATACTTAAATCAAGAATTGTTGTTTATTATATAAAATCAAATCAGATCGTTAATGTTGGGGCTGACTGATATAAAGTGTTAACTTGAATCTGTTTATGAGCGAAATGAATGCTATTACCAAAGTAATTCACGTGTGACGAGATTTGGTTATGATGTTTTCCATTTCCTTAACTAATAAATTAGGAATTACTCTGTATCGATGCTACTCGCTGCCGGCGCAACTGCTTTCTTGTCATCCGGGAAAGGATCGTTTTGATTCCATAAGTAATATACGCTTTTCGAAATACTTGCCTTCTTAAGATTTTGAAAGTAGCTTGGTGAATGTTAGTAAAAGTTTTATCAATGTTGTAAATATGTAAATTATCAAGATTTCATGGCATTAGAATTCTATGTCTCGTTACGTTCTAGAACTCACGTCGTTTGCAAAACATACGTAGATTTTTCGAAAAGAGACGGTATGGTATGCATACAACCTAGTGATCTGCGTTTTTTCGCCAATCCACCACATAGGTTTTATGTATACATATATTTCATGAAAAAAGGAAATACAACATAGTGAAGCTTATAATTCTAAAAGCAGAAGTAAATTACAAGTGAGGTCTAAAAACAAAATCAGTATATGGTAATACTGAGAGTCAAATTAGGACAGCGGAAGCGATGGTCTCATTTCATCTGACGTGTATACGCGAATCACAGTTTTCTGGCAGACATCAACTTGGAAACACACCTCCCACGTCTTAGACCGATAATCAGTTACTTTATAGACCCCATATCTAGGTTCAGAACATATGTCTTAGTTCAATAATGATAAGTAATCATGTTAAAAATTGTGGTTGAATCTCAGTAAAAATCTGGAGTCGTCTCGATATATGCTACTGTCATGTAGTTTTCTTGCTTATGCAGTGTAGTCCCTAATCTTTTATTAATAGAATTCGCAACACTGCTTAGGTATCCACCCTAATAATTTCGAATCTCAAAACTGATGTAATATGGAAACTTGGTCCAAAGCTCTTGTATTAAGTTCTAATTACAGCCACATAGGTTTAGACAAAATAATGAAGTATACTGAAGACCAACTAAGGTCCAAAAATCAGAAAACTCCGTCATAGTTATAAAAGTTTCACTCTTTTAAAAGTATGCAAACAATGGCCTACAGATATGCTTGTAAGTGAAAATCCTTTTATTGTATGGGATCACTCTTGACGCTTACTTACTTGGGGTTGTAGATGCGTAGTTTTTGTCGTCTGCTAGTAAATACTATAGCTTGGTCTCTCGACCCTTTCGTAAATTTGGTAAAATCATTTGTGTAAACGACTATTCACAGGCTACCTTACCTGAGCTCTAATTTCCTACCTTGAAATATCAAGGGTATGGGTCATCAATTAACAGTATTAGGTTATTGAAGAGGGAAAACGAGCAACGAAATAAAGTAGACGGTCTTCGTAAAAATACAGTGTGTACTTTTGTAAATATACCGCTTTTTAACACAGAATGTAGTGAATTTGAATTCTCAAATTGCAGTGCAGTGGTCTCAGATGCCACATTTTGCCTCAGGTTACGAAAGGAAATGTCAGGCAATGTATGAATAACCTAAGAAATAAAGTATTCTGGATTCCAAAGGTAATGAATATGACTACACTAGTGTGTTTGGTTTGTGTGCATTCACACTTTTCGACTGATGGTTTTTAGGATTATTATGATTTTTAACTGCAGGCCAAAATCGTCCAGACTGGTAATTTGAATTGTTCGAAACATTACGCGAAGTTACTACATAATTTAGTGGAATCAGTTTTGTTTATGTATTTTGTTTATTGTATAGGTGTAATGGATAAAGGAAATTAATCTCATTTAGCTTATTCTGTTAATTACTGGATTCATTGATGAGAGTACTCTCTTGATACGTGAATATATTATCATTATTATAAGCTTTATTCAACATTATATTTTTGGCGCAATGTAGAATTTTCAGCATAAAATATTTCAACAGGTTTCCTTTTCTTATATCTTGATCGATCCTGACGATAAATATTGAGTAATGGCCAGTTAGATATTAGAAGTTCGGTAATCAACATCTGAATAATCTTCATTCGTTTCAATGCATATTGCAAGCCACCATGATGTAGCTGGTTGTACCTTATTGTAATCCGTACAGCGAAAGGTTTTAAACTTTTCATAAACGCGCCTGAATTGGTTGTGAGCTCAATAGACATAATAATGTGTTAAAACAAATAAGAAAACAGATAACTTGACGAAATATCTAGATGGGAGGAACAGGTAGCCCGGATATTCAAGCAGGCCGACTCTTCTATTAATCGCGCAGTCAACGTATGTGAATTCATTCAGATATCTTTGGCCACGTCATACGAGATAGTTTCCGTCAGACTACTTCATACTTTTTCAAATTTAATGTAGGATAAAACATTAAAAGTCAGTTTTATGTTAGATAAGTTGTATTATAAAGCTTGTTTGAAGTGTTTGGGTAAAAATATACATGTAACCGCTTGAGGAACTTTTAAAGATGTTTCCTGGAAAACTGACGAACGCTCTTAAGAGGTTGATCCACGTTCCTGTAACATCAAAATAATTAGTAAAAAGTAAAATGTTCGTTATGTTATTTGTTTGCAGTTTTGTATATCTCGCTTCAGCCCAAATATGTGAAACTTATTTACCTCAGCGTAGACCAAATTTAACACCTACTCAAGTAGATTGCCTAGCGTCTAATTTCTTAGAATCTGTGTAGACCATTGCTTAGAATGTAATATTCATAAGTTGAATAGTATTTCACAAGCAACATCGTCTTAACTTGATACGGTGGTGAGATATTTATTCACAGATATTTGAGGTTAGTAACACAAATCTCCGGAACCCAGCATTAATAGGTTTATTTCCCGACTAGTTTGGCAGATTCAATGTTGGTTCAAGTTCTTTATAATAAAACCCACCACTCATTTGGTCGTCCCCTTATTACGGGAGAGTACTCGTTCGTCGATTTTAATAAATAAAGTTCTGTCGAAGTATTCCCATGGTTAGGGAGCTTTTTTTAATTCCACATAAAACTAAATAAGTAATATAAGGGGCATACTTATAGCCCTATACTATAAATCTATTAAAATAACTTAATGTAATCTTTAAAAAGGTTAGACGTTACCTATGGACAAATTATTGGATTTTGAGAAAAATATAAGATGATCTTAGTTTGCTGACACAGTAAAAGCCTTTTTTTAGCCAGATGTTCATGGACATAAAATGTAAGTCAGGTTTGATCACTCATATCGTGGAAAAATCTATGTATTTTGAACCTATTGGCAGTTTTGGTTTCATAGTACCATTCCACATCACTCAATCGAACCAAGATCTTAAGGAAAAAGGACAGTAGGAACAGTATATTGTTAAAATGACACATTTCTTAAGTTAGAAGCTCTAAGCAATTAGCGATTTTGAGTTTAATTTTAACCTTTCAATATCCGATAAATCATGTAGAAACAATAAACAACCAGATAGATTTCTATCCGGAAACTGACATCTTTATAACTCGGAATTGACAATATTCGCTGGATAATTTTGACCACAGTTTATGGTATTTGTTGTGTGGAGTTAGTGCTTTTCATTAACCTAAGATCATATTTTGTTTTGTCAGTTAGGTGTAACGCGTATGACATTTGATAGACTGTTCAGTAGACACTAATACTAGACGTATTGGGACTTGTCCTTTGTGCAGCCTACTTGTCTCATTCTTTGTGTTAATAAAGTTCGGGCCATTCCATACTCCTAAATGCTTCGATAAAAGGTAGATATTGTGGCCACATAAACATTTCAGGTTATAAAAGTTGTGTGGGAGTAAGAATTATGGTTTATGTACGTAAGGTTTGTCAACCTTTAATTATATTCCAAGTTTTTGAATAACTTACGTTTTGAAAATCAGTTTGGTTGCATTCTTTGAATAGCCAGTTCATCGGCTTCTTCATTTTCTTCCATCGTATAGATATCTTTATCAAGTCGCCTTAAATTGACCAAATAAACGCGAACTTCTAGTCGGTAATCTTTGACATCATAAACTGGATTATCTACAGATGGTCAATACACATCACTTAATTATCAGATTGAAGGATAAATTAAATTACCCACTAGGCATAACTTTCGAAAATATTATCACAGTAATTTATACGACTATTTAATGTGGATACTTATCAATTTTTAATTAGTCGGTCAAAAATAACTAATTAAGCAAAGGATACGTTAGTGGATGTATAGTTCAACATTAGTACGTGCAAATAAGGAAAATACTGGTTTAGAGGAGCGTAATGGATGGTGGACAAACGAAATTAAAGGAATTGGTAATATGTTCTACGAAAAAAGGAAATGCTGGATCTGAGTTTACTAGCTTAGCTTAAGCCATTCGAACTATTTAGTAAACATTTCTTCCAATTTACGGTCCACTTATATGACTTTTCAACACGAAGTAACTTTGTTAATCGATATAACATACTGATCCTACCAAAATGAATCACATACGTTTTATGTCTGGGAATTTTTAGTTCTAAAACTTTTAAATCAGATAAAGTCTTAATTTCAGGATAGAAACATCTCTGGTGATCGAAATAATACTCTTAGCAATATATGAAAACCATACTAAACTAAACAAATGTGTCGACCAGTTGTAAATATAAGGTTGCTGCTCCTAGCATAGACCCTGTAGCTTCGATCAAAAATAGTAGATTTCTCATGACTTCTGAAATAATAGAGAACATTGAACTAAGACCAGCTAGTGTCAAGCAAAATATAAGAAGTAAAAATCTTTTGTCACCATATTTACTATGTGAGTTTTTAAGATGCTTAAGTTTCAGGGACAAGATTTAAGACTATCTCTAGAGCCCTGATATCGTATTGTTACGATATATGATAAAATGAACTCTTAACAATAAACAGTTAATAATGAGATGTTTGATTTGATTTCCAATATGGTTTCTAACTTATAGAATCCGAAAATTACTTGATCATTAGTTTATAATGATTATTGAAGGAAGGTATTATGTGTAAATATTTGATCAAGTTACCTGTTAAAATCACTGTACGTAAACGCTGGAGGTTGGATAGTTTCTTTATTTCTTCTAAACTGCCGATTTGATTTTCCCTATGAAATAAATAAAACAGTCTCGTTGCACTGACATGAGTAGTGTTGTCATGACTAGATATTCAGTATCTTCGAGAAAATGATTTCAAATTTCATTATATAAATTCTGTCTCAAGAATTGACCAAAAAACGTTTGAACAGTTCGCAAGATTGTGTGATTTCCTAAACAAGTACATTTCTTTTGGTTGACACTACTGCCCAAATCAGAAAGTAAGGATTGAATTTTTGCAAAAATCAGTAACAGTTGTGTTTTACAGAATTTATCTTATCCGTTTATTATTATCACTGTACTTTAATGACATAGAGCCTTACATTGTGGATTGGTTAGAAATTTAAAAAATAATATTGATATCAACATTAAACCAAATCTGTCTATGATGTTGCTTAGTCGTATACAGCTCTTGTAATACGGGCTCATTGGTTCTTTATCTTTGACCATGATAACAGTACACTTCACGTGCTAACATTACATCGAATACCAATATGACTAGTCAAACGTGTTGTCCAAAATTCATAATGGAATGAACGTCGAGACTTTAAGCCTCAGTGTAAGCAATGGTACTTTATATACTGAGCTAGTTAGATTATTTATCAGAAATTTTTATTGTAACAGGGCATAAAATGTATCTCTCAGTTAGTGATAATATTTTTAAATTTGCACCTGTGCAACGTTTTAGTAAGTTTAAAAAAGAATTTGTGTTGTATATATATGAGCATATAGGTAGTTTATATATTATTAGCAAACGCAAGCCAGTTACGCGCACCTATCGTTTGGCGAATGGTGTTTGGCCCACTTTCATTTTGTAATAGCAATCAAAAGAGTTGCGAATGTTTTAAGAGGTAGTTTTATTTTTGGTATAAACAACACTTCAATAGTTTTTGTTTGAAATATTAGTTTTTATCACTCCAGACATTTTAATGTATGTGATTGTTACGACGCTTTTCAACACTGAATTCAACTTACATTACATCAAGGCTGGAACTGCATTTCACCTACCTTAGTTCCACAGCTTGCTAGCATGACTGCTCTGTGCACACAAAATGTACCACTGAAAACCAGGTACGCAAATTCGGACATCTTTTCCATAATCTCATGTAGTACATTTTATTTGACTTACCTAACATTTAAATATTCTAATCTTGGTAAACATTCAGGTGTTATTCCATCCAGATTGATTAATCCACTACTTCTTATGTGTAAAACAGATAGATTTGGAAGATATCCAATTAGGGAATTGTGATTATAACTTTGCTCTTTTTGATCATTAGTAGTGTATTTTAGTTCATTTGGTGAATTTTGTACATTTCCATTTTTTAATTTATAATTTCCAAAACTAATTAGTTTGTTATAACCAAGATATAATGCTTTTAGATTTTTCAATTCCAATCCAATTGCTATATTGATATTAGAATCATTTATTATAGTATCTTCAACCTCAATTAAATTGTGTGATAATCCAAGAGTATGCATTTTCGGCACACTATAATCATTTAGATAACATGATCCATCAGTTTGACTGGTCAGTCTACGTAACTGATTATCTGTTAATAAACATAGCAAAAATAAAAAAATAGTGATTTACGATTTCGAGCTATAATATTAAAATTTTACTCATTAATTGAAATTTTATTAATCCAGATCAATTCATTTTGCAGATAATTTTGATTGCATTTTTATATCAATCGGAGTTTGACTGAAAGTTGGAGAGTAAAACAGATATCTCGTTTTCAATTTTATCATTCAAATAAGTTAAATTTTTCCTATGTATATTACAGGACACACTAACTAAGTAATTTATTTTATGTATGGGAGTGTTTTAAAGCAGTTTATCGAACAGAGATTGGTAATGTATCTTGAAACTTTTGTCTGATCAAACAAGGTTGGAAACAAGGAAAAAATGATATGGTGATTTACTTCCGACGACCAATAAAAAAGTGTCCAAAAATAGACTAATATGATAACAAAAGTTGTTGAGAAGCAACAAAGCCACGCACATATTACAAAATTTTTTCCTGAATAAGGGAATAATAACTCAATTTTCATTATTTTTCTGGTCCCAAAATACAGGTGTAATCACTAACATTTTCATTCTGACATCTGAATCAAATCACTTCAACAGTAGGTTTCCAATAGTGTCTAACTAAAGCATAATTTTACTGAATGCAATTTATATAGTCTTACAGAGGATTTAAATATAATTCTTCTATGGAAGATGGATGTATTTGTTTACGGGTTTTCTCAGAAACTTACTACCAGAAGGTGCCTTTTGGTACTGCAAAAGCCATACTCCCAACTCTGATTATGCAAACAGACTATAAAAGGACAGTATTTTTCGAACGTGTTTGTCAGATATCTGAGACTATTTAGCAAACATTTTACATCTGACAAATGTAAGAGGTTTTAGGCGTGACTTGGGAAAACGATTATTAATTGATGATATTTTGAACTTGCACTGTTTGAGCAGTCTGAGTGAAAAATCGCTCATGATAAGTTACTGTGTGCCTGAAGTGCTATACTGGCTGAAATAGACTTACGTTGACTAGAAGCTTAGGATGACTAGATAAAAACAGCAAAAGTCAATAAAACGACTGGTAAGTTTGAGTAATTTACAGTATATAGTTTGAGTTTCTTGAATTAGTCACTGGAAAGTAAGTCCAAGTTGATCAGAGTAGGACAGAAAATTCCTCAACTATTTATTCATTTTTAACGATAATCTATGTTCTAGTTTAATCAGAATCATTCCATTGTGTAATTTATTGCATCGATATTGTTTACAATAATAATAATAGTAAATGTATACGTTTACTTATGAGACATGTGTAGTTTGAAAAGATATCTGGGAATACGCGGTTAAACTAAATAAAAATGAAGACAATTCATCGAAAATTTTCTATTCGACAAAAACATTTACTTAGACTGTACATTTGTATTTATACTTACTTGGTAAGTATATAAGATAGAAAAGATTGTATCATATAGTGATTCGAAATTTCAAAAACCAAAAAGGGATGTGTAATAATCAAAGGATTAACGAAGAACAAGATGAAAATAATCCTATCCCGTAGACTACTTTCATCCTCCTGTTCTTCGTTAATCCTTTGATTATTACACATCCCCTTTTGGTATTTGAAATTTCGAATCACTATATGATACAATCTTTTCTATCTTATATACTTACCAAGTAAGTATAAATACAAATTTACAGTCTAAGTAAATGTTTTTGTCGAAAAGAAAATTTTCGCTGATTAAATAATTGTTTAATGTTTACGACTGAAGTGTGTCGACATGAATACACTAAAATCCTGATATGTCATAATCTATGACTTAATATCGCCTTAACATTTTGTACCATAGGGAGAACAGAGTTTGTTTAAATATAAAAAAGCTTGAAAAGACCATTAACATAGATTTAAATGAGACTTGATGCATATAATAAAGTAAACATTTTCAATACGAGAAATAAAGCACATACAAAATCTGTTCGATTCCCTCTCAGAATGACGGCTTTAACTGATCCACCAAATGCCCCAGTTAAGACTGAGAATGGGGAGTCAGCTCTCTCAAAATGCTCTCACATGGCCACGCGTATATAGCCACTGCCAAGGAAGTCCTACTCACTGCCTTCTCGCGGCGGGGGTGTTTTTTACGAAGTTGAGAGGACGAAAAGCGAATGTCCGGTTCTCTAACCGGGTCGGTGGATACGGGAGATCCACCTAAGTGAGTTGGAAAACCATCACTTCAAGCCAATGGTGCATATGGGCTCTAGTATCCTGAGGGACCAAAATGTGTATGAACCAATTGTTGGTCACCGGCTACCATGGGACTGCATCTCCTAACGTTGCTCCACTGCTTTGTGGATTAGACCGTTAGGTCAAAGTCTCGAGGTGTGGCCCTCTAAGGAAACCACCCGCTTTGTTTTGGGCGTCCGGGCCGTATCCTAACCCACACACAAATCATTTGATTTGTGTGGCGCATATATATTTGGTACTTTCTTGTACTAATGCTTATGTGTTTCAATAAATGAGTAAACTTTAACTGACAGCCTGAAGTTTTAGGGAATTATATATTTAGCCACTCAATAGAGACAGTTATCTAGTTTGCTCAGATAGTCCACTGTTGGCAAAGCAGTCTGAGTAGGTAAAATAACTTGCTTTAGTGCTGTAAGATGGTCTTTGTATTTGACAGAAATATTTTCAGTAAAAAGAAGGTCCTCCTAAAAAGTATGGAGAATTTCAAAAAATTGGCGTCAGTGAACCAAGTTAAGGAGCACTTTCTCACATGCGACATGTTGTTTTCTGATTAAAAATATCTGGAAAATCGATCATTCTGCACCGAGGTTTTATCATGAGCTAAAATAGTGATAATAGTGTATAAACATAGATCAAACATACTCATAACCAATATCTAAATTAGTCGAGACATCATACCGAGAAATAATAGGATTATTCAAATTGTTTACTTCGTGTTTGTAACCAGTAAATGTTTGCTTGCAGATGATTGTTTTAAAAAATAGGGAAATTATCTTCATATCTTCGTATTTATATCTTGTTAAAACACACAAGGATCTGGATACTCAGTCTTAATTTGTCTCCATAAAGTTAAAAGACAATCTGTTATGAATTCTCGAAATACTCTCACACGGCCACGCGTATACAGCCTCTGCCAGGGAAGTACTACTCACTGCCTTCTCGTGGCGGGGGTGTTGTTTACGAAAATGAGAGGACGAAAAGCGAACGTCCGGCGCTATAACCGGATCCCAATTCTATGGTGCACATGGGCTCCAGTATCCTGAAGGAACAAATGGCGTATGAACCAACTTTTGGTCACCGGCTTCCATGGGACTGCATCTCCTCACGATGCTCCACTGCCTTGTGGACTAGACCTTTAGGTCAAAGGCTCGGGGTGTGGCCCCCTAAGAAAACCACCTGCTTCGGTTTGGGCACCCGGGCAGTATCTCAGCCCACACACCAAAACATGATGAAATATTCGCTTACGGAAAATATTCGTTCTTCTCTGACTAACATTGAAATGACTGATACTATTATTATTATTATTATTATTATTATTATTATTATTATTATTATTTACTACGTCATTTACTCACTATCTCCTATTTCTACTTTTTGTATCCGTTTCGACTCAGACAGCAGCTCGCCTATGGTAAAAATTCAGCTTTATCTAAACGTTCTCGAGTCACTGCCTGGTTTGAAAATTGTATGTTACCATCGAATAAGAGTACTGAAGCAGTCTTTCTGAAACCACGCGCACCATTCAAACTGGGTGCCTTTAACGTTCGCACACTTATGCAGGTCGGACAACAGATAGGGCTGGCAATGTCTTTGGAAAGTCTTAATATTGATGTGTGTTGTCTATCCGAGACCCGTATTCAAGACTCTGGTGAAGTACTACAAGTTCGCTCTCCATCTGTCGCTCCAAAAAGCTTGTTTTACGTGCGTTTATCCGGGGACCCTGTGGCATCTTCGTCTGGTCTTGCTGGCGTTGGTGTCGCACTAAGCGCAAGAGCTGAGGCAGCACTAGTCGACTGGATCCCTATTAACAGTCGGTTATGTGCTGTTAGATTAGAAAGTACCATCAGAGTGAGAAGAAATCGGCGTGAGAAACGATGTCTTTTCGTCATCTCCGCCTATGCCCCGACAGATTGCAGCCCGGATGCAATCAAGGATGAGTTCTACCACCAGTTATCTGTTCTTCTCCAGAAAGTGCGTTCGACAGATATTGTAGTACTAGCTGGAGACTTGAATGCTCAGGTCGGGCATCTAGGCACAGAAGAGAGTCGTTTAGGTGGCCGATGGGGACTCGTTGGTCGCAGGACAGATAACGGGGAACGTCTACTGCAACTATGCACAGACCACAACCTGTTTCTGGCTAGCACTAACTTTCGGCACAGTCATCGCCGATGTGCCACCTGGCGTCCCCCTTCTGCATCTCAAGCCTGGACTCAGATTGATCACATCGCGATCAGCTACCGCTGGCGCGGTTGTGTACAAGACTGCCGCTCCTTTTGGAGTACCTATCTGGAATCTGATCATGCTCTGGTCTGCGCCAATCTTACCTTACTTTTCAGTGGACAACGAAGTGACCGCCACCACAGGATTGATGTTAGCAAGCTGGCTGCAACTTCTGTTGCTAGTAAGTACCGAACCGAGCTAGCTTCTAGGCTAGCCACTATTCCACCGAAAAGTATAGATGAGCATTGGTTGCAATTGCATGACGCCATGAAAATGGCGGGTCAAGTCAGCTGTGGGATTGCGAAACGTCCCGCTTACAAGCACTGGGTTTCTTCTGGTTCCTTACAACTGATTGAAGCCCGTCGGTCTACTCCGGGTGACCGTGAGTTTGACCACAGACGAAGGTTGTTACGTAATGAAATCGGGCAAAGCTTGCGTAAGGACCGAGAAACCTGGTGGTCGGAGCGTGCCAGTGAGTTGGAAGCAGCAGCTGCATCTGGTAATTACCGTAAGCTCTTCCAACTCATCCGAGCCACCGGCAGCAAGAAGTCTGGTGTGAGCGAAACAATCTGCGAGGATGACGGAACGCCAATCACTAACATCCATCGACGTCTTGGACGATGGGCAGAATTCTTTGAAGGGCAGTTCAACTGGCCTGCTGCTCCGGCAACATCGGTCAGACTGTCCTGCCCTCCTTGGCCGGTGACGACTGATCCACCAAATGAGGCGGAAGTCCGCAAGGAACTCCAACTCTTGAAACGTTACAAATCACCGGGCCCAGACGACTTACCTTCGGCTCTTTTTAAAGATGGTGGTGACTTTCTGACTAAAGGACTGACGACGTTGTTTACAAAGATCTGGGAACTAGAGAGTGTACCAACGTCATGGAATGAGTCGATAGTTGTCCCTATCTTTAAAAAGGGTTCACGTTGTTCCTGTAACAACTATCGGGGGATAAGTCTACTTCCGATTGCGTCCAAGCTATTGGCTTCCGTTATACTTCGTAGGTTGTTCAGAACCCGAGAAGGATTGACTCGCGAGGAGCAGGCTGGGTTTCGTTCTGGTCGAGGATGTATTGATCATATCTTCACCCTCCGCCAAGTGTTAGAACACCGCCATACTTATCAAAGGCCAACAATCGTAGTGTTTCTTGATATCAAGGCTGCTTTCGATTCGTTGGACAGAACTGTTCTCTGGGATTGTCTATTGAAGAGGGGTGTGCCTGAGAAGTTTATTAACATCCTAAAAGCCTTATATACAAACACCTCAGGTAGAGTGAGGGCATACAACCACCTTTCTCCACTATTCCATTCAAGCAGTGGAGTTAGGCAGGGTTGCCCAATCTCACCATTCCTCTTCAACTTTGCCATCGATGACATTCTGGAAACAGCTCTGACGGATGTAAGTAATGGTGGTGTGGATCTGTTGCCTGGAGAAAGACTTCTCGACCTTGAGTATGCGGATGATGTTGTCTTACTGTGCGAGAATGCCCAAGCCATGCAATCCGCACTTAATCAGTTGGCAATCAGTGTCCGTAGGTATGGTATGTGCTTTGCACCTTCGAAGTGCAAAGTACTTCTACAAGACTGGCAGGATTCTAATCCTGTACTCACTCTGGATGGTGAGCAGATTGAAGTAGTCGAGAAGTTCGTGTATCTAGGTAGCTGCATAAGTGCTGGTGGTGGCGTGAGTGATGAGATCAATGCACGTATAGTGAAAGCCAGAGCGGCTTATGACAATCTGGGCCATCTTTGGCGCCTTCGTGATGTTAGTCTGGCTGTAAAAGGTCGGATCTACAACGCGACGGTGAGAGCAGTTTTGCTCTATGCTTGTGAAACCTGGCCTCTCCGAGTTGAGGATGTTAGACGACTCTCTGTGTTCGATCATCGTTGTCTCCGAAGGATTGCTGGCATCCAGTGGCAACACCATGTCAGTAATGCAGAGGTTCGGCATCGAGTGTTCGGTCACAGAGACGATAATGAAATTGGTGTCACCATCTTGAAACACCGACTTCGGTGGCTTGGACATGTTCTACGAATGTCGTCCCAGAGAATTCCTCGTCGTGCATTATTTGCCGACTCTGGGACTGGTTGGAAAAAGCGGAGAGGTGGTCAGTATATGACATGGTGTCGTGGTATGAAAGAAAGCTGCAAAGGGCTAGCTTCTGTTGGTCCTTCACGACTCCCTGGTTGGGGTCCGAGAGATGGTGTAACGCAGTGGCTAGAGACGTTATCAGATATGGCTCAGAATAGAAGCCAGTGGCGATCCTGCTGTAACCTTCTTTTACTTTCTTCATAAAAAGGTGGTCGTATTCTTCCTTAACTGAAAGATCTGTTCTGATTGTACCTTTCCGTTTCCCCCCACCATTGTTCTCTCTCTCTCTCTTCTTTTTTTTATAATTCCACACGTTCATTACTTTTTTTTTTTCTTCTCTTTTCTCCTTCTCTTCTAATTATCACTGTTTTGTGTGGCGCATATATATTTGGTGCCCCCCTGTACCAATATTTATGTGTTCAAATAAATAAATAAAATGAATTCACTCATCATGACCCAGCTAGTCTAATTACTTGGTAATCTTGGATACTACTTCATTCGACAAATCCTCAAATGAGAACACGGTTGAACAGGAAACTAACAATATTACAAATAACAAGGTTGGCTGGAAGTAGTGATCACAATAAGAAAAGCATAAATATATATTTTTAAATAAGGAGGTTCTCGAGTCTTCTCCAAGTATACATATTGGTTAAGAAATAGCCCTGCACGTAATATACATTAATCTTTTTTATATTCCGCTAACACAATGGTTTAAAGACGTCGATTAAAAGTGCCAGTCAAAGTACAATTTAAGATATTGGTACACTTAATGAATAAAACATTAAGTATATTGCGAGTCCTAAAATATTATTTTCAGCCTCGAAACACAATCTCTTCTGAGTTCTTAGTCGAAACAATAACGAAAATTTAGCGTGTAGAGGGTTAGTTTTGTCGTCAAATGAAGAAATTTGATTTCTTAAAAACATCTAAAAGTGTATCTATTACTCCATTATTAATAATAACAATAAGACGCACTTAATTCATGTTAAATTATTCACCAGACAAGAACTATTCACGATATTAAGTGTAATTAACAGTGATTATTATTCTTTGGATGCTATCCGATTTCATTACTTACAAATAGTTAGAGTTAAAAATTAGTCATCTCAGCTATATTAAACATTACGAAATGCACAGTAAACGTCTCAATTAATGAAGAAGTTTCTTGAAAAAAATCAAGCATAAAGTTAGTAGATAAAATTTAAATAAAGCTATAGAATTATGATTATGTGATTACTTTCAAACGGAGTTAGTAGTTTGTGATTGTTCTACGTGTATTTTGGGTGTTTGTACAATAGGAATTAATCAGTTGCACTACGATGTAAAAGTGAAGTGAGTTATTTAGACTGATGATAAAATACGGTAAAATAGCAAAGCTTGGAAAGTATTATCCAAGTGTATACTTCCGTGCAAGTTAGAAATATTTATCACTGAAGACAAACTGAATTTCATTAAATTTTACCACGTAATAAAACTTACTGTCAAGGAATAGAACCAACAATCTTGGGTAATTTACAGTTGTCAGCCTTTTAATACGATTGTTTCTTAAGTCTAAGTGTGTTAACGAGGGCCAATTTCCACAAGGAAATTCTTCTATTTCATTATATGATGCTCTTAACACAGTCAGATTGTTTAAACAATATAATGGTCTTAAATTGACTATGCGATTGAATCCTATGTTAATGTAACGCAAAAATATAAATCCCTTCAGCGCGTCGATATTCGTTAGCAATCTGTAAGAAAAATGAGTTTTATATTTATTACGTTTTTATTCAATATATTCTATAGAATACGGTATTATGGAATATAGCAGTTGACAAAAGTACATATTTAGACCGAGGTTCAGGTTGAAGTGAAATAATCTTATACCATTGACCTGAGATAAGTCTGTATATATGAAGAATATTGTCTATTAGTTTCAATGATCGGTCATATACGAACTACGTATTGGTGGGTAATGAACATCAAGTGAAGTTACAAAACTTCCTGTTGACGCATAAACAAAACATAAAACAAGCAAGAAGTCAGAAAGGGAAATTAATGAAAAGATTAGTACTAACAAGGAAAAACAGAAAGTATTATCTTACTCTGAACATTAAGGTGATACTACAAAATTTGTAATTTTCCCAAAAAGGTGTGAAAAAATGTTTTACGTAAATCCAATCTTATAAAATCTTAGAATATTTATTGGTTCATTTTATGCATGGAAGTGAATTTTTGTTGTCGGTGATTGGAATCATATAAAAGTTTATTGTTAATAAGCACTAAATCTTGAAAACAATATATTTCGTCAATTAATCAAAGTGAGAAAGCTCATAAAAGTTGGGTTACAAAGTGGCGAGACTAGATTTTGAAGGTTCCTTTTAACAAACCTTACCCCAAGAAATATGCTTAAAAGAGTTTAGTGCGTAAGTAATGACGAATACCTGTTTCTTCACACGTGCCATTTGAGCAACTTTTCAAAAAAGATAATGGTTGATCTGCATACGAAGATAAATGTGCGCATCAGATATAGACTGTTGATGAGTTCCCATCAACAGAATCAAAAATCTTCTAAGTGCTCATATGTTTTCAGAGTAAATTTCAATTACTTCTTGTGATTTAGTTTTTTATGTTAAATGACAGGGAGTTTAACATAATGCTATCATTCCCTATCTCGTTATGAAAACTTACTATTCACAAAGTTAAATTATTGATATGAATAGGTTTCTGATTAAGTAAATCCGGATTTATGCGTGTTAAGTCTTGATAAAATATATGACTTCTCCGACTACAATATAAATAAAAAATGCAGTATATGCTGAATGCGGGTGTTGGTTATTTGTGTATCATATAAATAAGAATAGCTGAATGTAGTGCTTAACATAATCCCATTTGACTGGTCACAATCACTGATTGTCCAAACATATAGGAAGGGGTCAAAATCATCCTATGACAACCATAGAGGGATTAGTTTGACTAATGTAGCATCTAAAATACTAGCCTCAATAATTATCGGACGTCTAACTAAGACTCGTGGAATACAAACACGAGAAACTCAGGCTAGCTTCAAATCTGGTCGTGGCTGCATAGACTACATATTCACCATTCGTCAGGTTCTAAAACACACTCATATTTATCGGCGTCCGACACTGGTGGTCTTCCTTGACTTAAAAGAAGCATTTGACTCTGTTGACCGAGAGGTTCTGTGGTAGTGTCAGTCATTTAAAAGCGTACCTCAGGAGTACATAAACCTTGTGAAAAATCTTTACTCAAACACTACTTGTTGAGTCAGAGCTTATGGCGAACTGTCATCTGCTTTTGCAACCTTAAGTGGTGTCCGTCAAGGCTGTCCACTTTCTCCATTTTTGTTTAACTTCATCATAGACCTACTGATCGGAATAACGCTCTCATGGACTGCATTCTCGGGTATTGATCTCCTACCAGGAGGTCACCTTATCGACTTAGAATAAGCAGATGATATAGTCCTGTTTGATGAAGACGCTGATAAAATGCAGTCTTTTGATAGCACTAACCAACAATGCTAGAATGTTTGGGATGTGTTACTCCCCTTCTAAATGCAAATTGTTGCTTCAGGACTGACCTGCGTCAACACCTGAACTAAGGACAGGGAGTGAAGTGGTCGAACGCGTTGACAACTTCGCTTACCTTAGAAGTCTGATCAACCCAAATGGGTTGGTTTCTGACGAAATTTCAGCACCGAATCGAAAATCTCGTTTGGCTTTTGCCACCTTACGTCACCTATGGTGAAGGCGAGATATCCGTCTATCAACTAAAGGGACGAGTATACTGCACGGCAGTTCGTTCTGTTTTACTTTACGGCTGTAAAACGTGGCCATTAAGAGTAGAAGATACTCGTAAGCTACTAGTACTTGACCATCGACGCCTTATAAATATTGCTCGCATCTGCTGGGATCACCGGGTATTAGGGAATGATGGTGAATCAGTTGATGAGGTTGTAAATCCTCATCGACTGAGATGGTTGGGCCATGTGCTACGTATGCCTGGACAACGATTACCTCGACTCACAATGCTGGCTAGTGTTGGAGACTCTGGGTGACATGGCCGAGAATCGATCACAATGGCGTAGGTGTACACACTCTCTGTCTTCCCTTAAACTATGAGGTTAAAATTATTTCACATAATTCTTTCTACGAACTAATTTTTTCTTCCTGTACTATGTCCTTATATGCAATCTTTCTTTTATATATTACCACCAGTGAATTAACTACTTGTATCAATCCGGTGTTCATACTGCTGTGCTAATGAAGTAGGGCAACTTGGACCGATACATATATGTGCCTGGTCTTACGTTGTAGCTGACTGACTGGTGCTCAACAGGGTGTTTAAAAATCTGTATGTTCATGAGAAACAAATCAGGTAATCTTTTTGTTTGAAAAAAGATAGTAAAAAACGATACTGCATTTTCATTCTTATGGCTTTTAAATAATAAAAAATGGCAAGTCAAACAATGGCGACGAAGTATACTGCTAATGTGCCAAAATTAATAACAAATGCGCCAGGTACTCATGCCGCTATAAAAAAATGATTCTAAACTAAAATTAACCTGATATCTTGAACTGTTAGCTGAAAAGAGTTTATAGTTCTTTAGGGATGAACAAGGCAACTCGATATATATATATATATATATATATATATATATATATATATATATATATATATATATATATATATATATATACAATCATGTGCAACTACAGAGTAAAAACGTCCAGTATATTACAAAACCAATCCTTTTTGCAAACCTAGTAATTGTGCCCCTATGTAATAATTTACTCGATTTCAACGAGATGAAAATCTGACAACGGCAATTCGCTTAGTATATTGCACACCATCATCATTTTATTCTCATGAAAATTAAAACGGATCATAGATGACCGATGTAAGGTCTTTGATAAGAATTAATGGTTACCAAATGGCAACCACCAACTGCAAAAATATTGAGGATAAGGAGTAAAGTATTTTACAAACTGTTTATATCAACCTGCCAAGCCAATCATGCAAGGTTTATGATCAAATTAGCAGTGATAGTTTTACGGAATTATTAAGAATATAGGGAGGTCGATAATAAATTCCATTTTTCAGCAGATTAACTTGTTTCGTTAATGTGTAGTTTCAGTATCATTTCCATCACATGAAGGACTAATTTGATGTACGGACACCAAATTTCTGCAGTTAATCGAGTTTTTTTTAAAACAGTTGGCAGTCTGAATCTCTAATAGCAACGTACATCGTTGCATTTTGTTCTATAATACTTTCAAAAAGCAGTATTTGACACTGAAATTAATTCCCAAAAATATTGTTCAAATGACTAGATCGCTAACAAATAAAATGTTTATCAGTATACTTTAAAATAATCGTAAATAATATACATGTAGAAATAGTTATACAACAAAACGTTACGTCTATAATATCTATGTCGTTCAGATATAGCATAAGACTTAAAATTTACATGTCTTACCTGTCATTGCAAATAAATTTAGCTGGGGCATATGATAACCCGTCAATTGTTTCGTTTACACAACACAAACTTGAACTTATTATTTCTTTGTTCAGAGATATTGATTCCGAGGATTTTTCTGTAACGCTTATGTGTTTCAGTGTTATCTCAGAAATGTTAAGTAAATAATGTTACCCATTGTTCTGATCGAGTTCAATTCTTGGAGTTTGATTCTCAGTAGGCTGAATTGTTTGCATATCGTATTATATACTCTCAAAGTTTTCAAAGCTTGATATCAAGGTAAACTAAATTACCAAAACGTAATAAATAGATATATATGGTGAAACAGTGACTAAAAATATCTTCTAGAACCAAAAAGCAACAAAATATCATATAGTCAACATGAGTATCAGTTATCTTATTAGTTATGTACTCAGATAACTTCAAAACTGGTAAACAGAGTACTTGTCTGAAGTATACTTACTTACTTTACTTACTTACGCCTGTTACTCCTCGTGAAGGAGCATAGGCCGCTCACCAGCATTCTCCATCCAACCCTGTCCTGGGCAATCCTTTCAAGCTCTTTCCAGTTCTTATTCATCTTTTTCATATCTGCTTCTATTTCCCGACGTAATGTGTTCTTTGGCCTTCCTCTTTTCCGCTTCCCTTCAGGATTCCAAGTTAGCGCTTGTCTCGTAATGCAGTTTGATGATTTCCTCAATGTATGTCCTATCCGCTTCCATCGTCTTTTCCTAATTTCCTCTTCAGCTGGAAGCTGGTTGGTTCTCTCCCACAAAAGGCTGTTGCTGATGGTATCCGGCCAATGGATGTTGAGTATCATGCGTAGACAGCTATTAATAAATACCTGTACCTTCTTGATGGTGGTTGTTGTAGTTCTCCAAGTTTCAGCTCCGTACAGTAGAACTGCCTTGACGTTCGTATTGAAGATTCTGACTTTGATATTGGTTGAAAGTTGTTTTGAGTTCCATATGTTCTTCAGTTGAAGGAATGCCGCTCTAGTTTTGCCAATCCTCGCCTTGACGTCTGCATCTGATCCTCCTTGTTCATCCATTGTGCTTCCCAGGTATGTGAAGGATTCCACGTCTTCCAGAGTTTCGCCATCAAGAGTGATTGGATTGCTGTTCTCCGTGTTGTGTTTGAGGACCTTGGTTTTCCCTTTGTGTATGTTGAGGCCTACTGATGCAGAGACTGCTGCTATGCTGGCTGTCTTTATCTGCATTTGTTCGTGTGTATGTGATAGGAGGGCTAGGTCGTCTGCGAAGTCCAAGTCGTCTAATTGGTTCTGAGCTATCCATCGTATGCCGTAGTTTCTCTCAGATGTCGAGGTCTTCATAATCCAGTCGACCACCAGAAGAAACAGGAAGGGAGAGAGTAGACAGCCTTGTCTTACTCCGGTCCTTACTTGGAATGCGTCTGTCAGCTGTCCTCCATGCACTACTTTGCACTGTAGTCCGTCGTATGAGTTCCGGATAATGTTGACAATCTTCTCAGGAACTCCGTAGTGTCGAAGAAGTTTCCATAACGTCCTCCTATCTACACTGTCAAATGCCTTCTCATAATCAATGAAGTTGATGTAGAGTGACGAGTTCCACTCAATTGATTGTTCGACGATGATCCGTAGTGTCGCAATCTGGTCTGTGCACGACCGGTCCTTACGGAATCCAGCTTGTTGATCTCGAAGTTGAGCGTCAACTGCGTCTTTCATCCTGTTCAGTAACACTCTGTTGAAGACTTTACCCGGTATTGACAGTAGTGTAATGCCTCTGTAGTTTTCACACTTGCTCAGATCTCCTTTCTTTGGAATCTTGATGAGGTGTCCTTCTTTCCAATCCATCGGCACTTGTTCCTCCTCCCAAATCTTCTTGAATAGAAGATGAAGCATGCTTGTAGTTACTTCGATGTCTGACTTCAACGCTTCAGCTGGTATATTGTCAGGTCCTGCTGCTTTCCCGCTCTTGATTTGTCTGATGGCCATTCTGATTTCTTCCGTCATTGGTGGATTGACATCTATAGGAAGATCTGTGTGTGCTGCGTCGATGTCCGGTGGATTCGTTGGAGCCGGCCTGTTCAGGAGTTCCTCGAAGTATTCTGCCCATCTGTTGCGCTGTTGCTGAATCTCAGTGATCGGTCTTCCTTCTTTGTCTTTGACTGGTCTCTCTGGTTTACTGTATTTCCCTGCAAGCTTCTTCGTCGTATCGTAAAGCTGTCTCATATTTCCTTCTCTTGCAGCTTCTTCCGCCGTCGTTGCTAGTTCTTCCACGTATTTTTGCTTATCAGCTCTAATGCTCTTCTTCACTTTCTTGTTTGCTTCTATGTACTCTGCTTGTGCTTGGACTTTCTCTGCTCTTGTTCGACTGTTGTTAATTGCTGTCTTCTTGTTCTTTCTTTCTTTGATCCTGTCCAGTGTTTCTGTAGAGATCCATTCCTTGTGATGATGCTTCTTGGGGCCCAGAACCTCTTGACACGTTGAAGTTAATGTTTCTTTGATACCTTTCCAGCTATCCTCCATAGTAGTTTCTTCTTCCTTCAGTAGATCCTGTAAGGCTTGGAACCTGTTGTTGAGAGCTACCTTGAATTCATTGAGTTTGTCAGTATCTCGAAGGAAGGCTGTATTGAACCGTTGTGGTGCTGTTTGTCCAGTTGTCCAGTTCTTCTTTAGCTTCAGTTTCAATTTGGCCACAACTAGGTGATGATCTGAAGCTATGTCCGCTCCTCTCCTGGTTTTCACATCTTCCATTGTCCTTCGGAACTTTTTATTGATGCAAATGTGATCTATCTGGTTCTCTGTGGTGTGGTCCGGTGAGATCCACGTAGCTTTGTGTATACGTTTGTGTGGAAATGTTGTACCGCCTATGACCAATTTATTGAATGCACACAGATTTGCAAATCTTTCCCCGTTTTCGTTTCTCTCTCCCAGTCCATGCAGTCCCATGATGTCTTCATATCCGGTGTTGTCCATTCCGACTTTGGCGTTTAGATCTCCCATCAGAATGGTGAGGTCCTTTCTTGGGCACTTCTCTATGATTGATTGCAGCCTCTCATAGAATTGATCCTTAACGTCGTCGTTGCTATCATTGGTAGGTGCATAACATTGGATAATGTTCATTGTGATCCCCTCCTTCTTTGTTTTGAATGATGCTTTGATGATTCTGGATCCGTGAGATTCCCATCCTACAAGTGCATTTCGTGCTACTTTGGATAGCATTAGAGCAACTCCCTGAGTGTGTGGAGCATTTTCCTCTTCGTGACCGGAGTATAGCAGCATCTCTCCCGTATTTAGCCTTTGTTGTCCAGCTTGGGTCCAATGGGTTTCACTGATTCCCAGTACTGCCAAGTTGTATCTCCTCATTTCCGTTGCTATTTGACTGGTCTTCCCGGTCTCCCACATTTTCCGGACGTTCCATGTACCTATAAAAATTGTTGCTCTGGTTGTTAGAAGGGGCATCGGCCTCGTGGCTTCCGAAGGAACTCGGCTTTCACCATGAAGCGTCATATTACCTCTAACTCCCAGGGCAGGGTTTAAATGGTTTGAGTTATTTTTTCTGGTTAGCGTTTTTTTAGCGAGTTAGGTTTCTACGGGATGGGGACGCTAACCCCATGCCCAACCCTCCTCCTTTACCCGGGCTTGGGACCGGCAGTAACTCTGGAAGAGCTACAGGCGGAGTTTGTCTGAAGTATACTTGACAAAATTTATGGCACTTTAATATTAAACAACTTAGCTGAGTGATGATCACAGTTTGAGAGCTCCTTGAACCACGATTAATTAAACACAGAAAAGCTCAAATTTAAACAATCAAATGGAAGGCCAATTTTGAACTGACTTCAGTCGACTATTATAATAATTGCCATTTATAGAAAAGACTACTTACTCTACTATTGTAGTGAACAAAAACACGAGTGGGGACAATCGAATCCATTTGAGTACAAAATTACAAAGCATCTCACTAAAATCTGACAACCATATAGTAGATCGTTAAATCGCAAAATATCAATCCATAATCTCAAACTTCACTGTTCCTGTCGCAAATATCAATCCATTGTCTCAGATTTCATTATTCATGCGTTTTTATACCAATTGCGTTCCGTCTCCGTTCTTTTCTCATCGACATTCTACTGAAATACATTCTATTCCTGACCACCGTTATATGCTACTTGTGTGGATATAAGTAACACACACCACACTATCACCGCCTCTCTAGAACTTTAATGGAGCAAGATCTATGTCCGTTTTTTACGGTCAGCCGGGACACTAAGGATAACTGACAGACGGAAATGATCAAAGCTTACGCTATTCTTTGTCCTATTCGAAAAATAGCTAGGCGTTTAAACTCATGCGCGCTACGTGAAAATATTCAAAATTGACCTCTGTTCCTATCTAGATACCAACAATGCTGCGGCAGCACCACCTTCTTCGAAAGGAATATGAATATCTTGAGACATGTACGCAGAAGTGCTACGAAGTTGTCCAGAAGGCCAATGAATATGTCGCGTATAAACAACTTATCTTCAATTGTTCGTGCTAAGTTACAGAAGAGAACGAGGCGATCTGACAATTGATGCAAAAATACTAAGCCTCTTGACAATCCAGATAAACATTCAACCCGAATCACAGCGTTGCACTCGAAGAGGTTACTTACGACGAATAGCACATAAAAAACAATAAATACGTTACATTATACATCTGTAACACTCTCTGAGGCAGTGAGTACAGCCTTCTAATTGTATAGATTTAAAGGGATACTCGATAACCACGTACTCGCCTATGAGTTACCGTCTAGAATAGCTGTACCCGACCCGCGTCTTGTACGCTATTATTACTGCCACTATTATCTCAATTGTTGTTATCAGTATCATTACCATTACTCATATTATTATCACCAGATCTCTGCTCACTCTCGTCTACGTAAAAGAGGGTTATATATGTAACTCCCAGACATTTGTTTGTTCAAATTAATTGCGCAAATCATCAATTTACTTATTCAGAGGATGATATTTTTTTGCATTTCAAAATACTAAAAGTTTGAAGATTATATATAATCTTCAATATCGAAACAAACCATTCTACTGCATGGTTATAAGCTAAACCAAGAATTTCCTGAAATAACTTGAAACGCTAGATAAAACCCCATGCCAAACAAAATCTTGGGGTTTATGGTCGCATTTCCTCAAGATGTTTTTCGAAAGCTCTCCGAAATTGATAGTAATTCCCCCCAAAATAGATCAGATATCTGATCTTCGAAGTATTAACACGTTAAAATGCTTATGAACTTTTTAAAACAGAAGTGCTGCAACAAGAAGTAAGGATTTAAGTTCATAAACACTTTAATGACGATTTATTAGGACGTTATAAAATAACCTCGTTATCGAGTGTAGTCCTGATGGTCAAACAGCTATTTTATTGAGAAAGTAGGTTATCTGACATATGTCCGAGAGTACTGGTTTTTCATTAGAGACTGAGTGAGAGTGAAATTACGTAATTTTCCATGTAAGAAATAATTCTAGATTATAAAACTGATTCAATAAAAACATATAGCTTTTTATATAAAAAATATACTTCCGACCATTCTGCTTTGGCGTAAGTAAAACTTTTTTAATTTATGACAACCAATTGTTTTTATATTCAAGAAATACGTGACGGTCAATATTTTTACTTGATTTTTTCAACGTAACAACCTTGAACTCAAAAAATGACACTTTGTAACTATAGTAAAGACGTATTCAATGAACAACACTTGATCATTGCGAGTTATTTACACTCATAACCAGAAAACTGAGATGACAGGTCTGAAACTAAAAGCTTGTACAAACCAACTGACATAAATCTAATCAAAAGGTAAGGCGATGCAAGTCTTGCACTGATAACATTGAAACGCATTTTTGGCCCGTTTGATGGAAGAACTTTCCACATAATCTTCAATAGATTCATTCGTCCCCATTTAGAGTACGGAAACATAGTATCCCCTCCTACACTCCAAAAGGATAAGGACACTCTGGATCGTATCCATCGGCAAGCCACGAAACCAGTTTGGCGACTCAAATTCAAGCCTTACGAAGAGCACCTCCAATCACTCAACCTTTACCAGAGTATAGGCGTCTTAGAGGTGACCTGATGGCTTACTGTATCCGCAACACTTCTGGACACCCCCTTAAGCTTAGTCCCCATACAAACCTAAGGGGTAACACCTGGAAATTGGAGATACAACATAGCAGAACGGACTTTAGACACAACTTCTACTCCTTAAGATCTGTCAACTATTGGAATTTGCTGCCGACTGAGCTAGTTCAAGCGACTTCCCGGGAGTCCTTTAAGAGGAAACTTGACCTGTTCTCAAGGATTAAGGACAACATCTCATCATGAGTTACCAATTTCCTTTTTTAATGTACTATAGTTAATATACCTAGGTTCTTGCCTGGATGTATTTTTGATACCCTGCTACTAGACACGGAAGCCTGTTAAGCGAAAGCTTCTTTCATTCCGTCCACAACCAATTTAAATCTTATGATTTGTAATTAAGCAAGATCAATCGAGAACGAAATTCTGCTGACAAGTACATCATCGATTTTACAGCAGACCAAAATCACACGAACCGAACATTCCACTTCATCCAATTGGAGCACTTCCCGTAACATCAACCTGCAATTTTTTCAGCAAAATAACATTCTTTGATTTATTAATCACAAGAACCAACACACTCCAGCCATGCTGCTTACTGTTTGGACCTAGCAATCTCCCAAGTTTAGGTATCACCATTGTTGAAATATTTATTGATACCAGCAGAAGCCGCAGATGAAATTTAGGTTTACCCTTTAAAATAATAAGGAGCAGCAACAACTAACTGGACTGAGTAAATATATCCAGGTAGTGGTGGGTAACTAATGCAAAGGGGAACCATCACTAAGTAATGACTGAGCATATCAGGATGTAGTCGATAATCAGACGTCATGATGATTGGTGGATGTATTCCAAAGCGACTAAGAATGGTCTGTGTACAGGATGTCTTCATTGCCCATCTAACTAAAACAACCTTCATAAGTTCGACCTTAGCATTAGTTAGGTTTAGGACTGGAGTTAGCTAAACAAACTTCATTACGGGCTTTGGGACTTTGACATTTGCGAAACACCAATGCAAACAGATAGCTGACAGAAGACAATGGGAAGGCTAAAGGCAACGAACTTGAAATTCAAATGACGAACTGGATTCTTGTGGAGAACGCTGTAAATGTTGTTACTGCTATCATGAACCTTTTTGTGCTGATAACTTTGAGGCAATATAAATTGCATGCATACTAAACATATTTTCCGGGAAAGGATTTTAAGACAGTGGAAATGTTTACTAAATTTGTTTTTGTGTACATATATTTTATATTACTATACATAGTGCAATATGGATTTCAAATCACAGAAAAGCCAGAAATATGCAGCAAGGGTAGTCCGCAAAATGAATAATGATAATAAATCGGAAATCCAGTGTTTAGTTTGGAACAATCAATTGAATGGAATTCATCACTCTATATCAACTTCATCGACTACGAAAAAGCATTTGATAGCGTGGACAGAACAACACTATGGAAGCTTCTTCGACACTACGGCGTGCCTGAGAATATAGTCAATATCATATAGAATTCCTATGATGGATTAAACTGCAAAATCGTGCATGGAGGACAGTTGACAAAGTCGTTCGAAGTAAAGACCGGTGTCAGGCAAGGTTGCTTACTCTCACCCTTTCTCTTTCTCCTGGTGATCGACTGGATCATGAAGACATCAACATCTGAAGGGAAACACGGGATACAGTGGATAGCTAGGATGCAATTGGATGATCTAGACTTCGCAGATTATCTGGCTCTTCTATCGCATACGCAACAACAAATGCAGGAGAAGACAACCAGTGTAGCTGCAGCCTCAGCAGCAATAGGTCTCAATATACACAAAAGGAAAAGCAAGATTCTTCGATACAACACAGCATGTACCAATCCAATCACAATTGACGGAGAAGCTTTGGAAGATGTAAAAACTTTTACATATTTGGGCAGTATCATCGATGAACACGGTGGATCTGATGCAGATGTGAAAGCACGGATTGGCAAAGCAAGAGCAGTATATTTACATCTGAAGAATATCTGGAACTCAAAACAATTAGCAACCAACACCAAAGTCAGAATTTTCAATACAAATGTGAAGACAGTTCTACTGTATGGGGCGGAAACCTGGAAAACTACGAAATCCATCGTCCAGAAGATACAGGTGTTTATTAATAGTTGTCTACGCAAAATACTTCAGATCCGCTGGCCGGACACTATAAGCAACAACCTACTGTGGGAGAGAACGAATCAGATCCCAGTGGAGGTAGAAATCAGGAAGAACCGCTGGAAGTGGATAGGACACACATTGAGGAAAGCATCGAACTGCGTCACAAGACAAGCCCTCACATGGAATCCTCAAGGTCGAAGGAGGAGAGGAAGACCAAAGAATACATTACGACGAGAAATGGAGATAGATATGAGAAAAATGGACAAGAATTGGATGGAACTAAAAAAGAAGGCCCAGGACAGGGTGGGTTGGAGAATGCTGCAGCACTCACGGACCTCCCAATTGATGTTGGCGCACCGACAATTGAAGAAATCAGCATGGCTATCAGACAAATCAAGAGTGGCAAAGCAGCAGGACTAGACAGCATTCCAGCAGAGGCACTGAAAGCAGACGTAGCAGCAACTGCAAGGATACTCCAAACTCTCTTCAGAAAGATCCGGGATGAGGAACAGGTACCAAAAGACTGGAAAGAAGGACTTCTAGTCAAAATACCAAAGAAAGGCGATCTCAGCAACTGTGACAATAACAGGCATATCACTCTTCTTTCAATACCAGGAAAAGTCTTCAACAGGGTATTGTTAAACAGGATGAAGGACTCCGTAGACGCCCAACTTCGATACCAACAGGCAGGATTCCGTAAGGATAGATCGTGCACAAACCAAATCGCAACTCTACGGATCATTGTGGAACAATCAATTGAATGGAATTCATCACTCTATATCAACTTCATCGACTGCGAAAAAGCATTTGAAAGGGTGGACAGAACAAACCTATGGAAGCTTCTTCGACACTATGGCGTGCCTCAGATCCCAGTGGAGGAGGAAATTAGGAAGAACCGCTGGAAGTGGATAGGACACACATTGAGGAAAACACCCAACTGCGTCACAAGACAAGCCCTCACATGGAATCCTCAAGGTCGAAGGAGGAGAGGAAGACCAAAGAATACATTACGACGAGAAATGGAGATAGATATGAGAAAAATGAACAAGAATTGGATGGAACTAGAAAAGAAGGCCCAGGACAGGGTGGGTTGGAGAATGCTGGTCGGCGGCCTATGCTTCATTGGGAGTAACAGGCGTAAGTAAGTAAGCTTTATCTTCGCTACTCTAATGATAGACTTAGTCCTAGGATCGAAAATTTCTCATTATGTGATTACCTAATCCATATGATTTTACATAGACGTCACACTACTGTCTAAACTGAGTTGTCGCATAGTATATTCAACAGTATGTTGTTTAGCACATTTGAAAAAGACATTTGTACTGGGGATAGAATTATACATCTAATGTGGGTGTGGTAAAGCCACACAAAATGACCACGCCTGTAAGACCAAGCCATACCATACTAAACAATTGTCCCCGCATTCAACGTTTTTGACCTTCTCCAAGCGTTACATGTTGAATGTAAATCTCAGTGTGGTTACGAATTCAAACCACTATAACTTCCACGAAGCTCGACGTAACAGCATTTAATGTGTTCAGCTGACATTTTATTGCGAGCAATTAAAAACAATGCCAACTCCTAGCTATCTGGGTATATTCCTGAATTGATAATCGAGGAACGTGTATTACTTGTGTTTTTGCGTAAATGTACTCCGGACCATTTTCAAAACCTTATATTATATTATTTGACAGCGGTATGTTGATATATAAAAGATAAGAAAATTGGTGAGTTACGTTAGAAACGTTTAGAATAACCATGTCAGTTGAATGGACCAGTATTCTCTGAACGTGAAAAATTCTTAAAATGTATCATTTTGTTTAGTGGCTATCTAGACATGAGCAAACGTATTTAAAAAGTAATTGATCACCTGTTGTTCACAGACGTGGTAATCTTTCGTGCCCGTAGGTAACCCTGGTGCTATTGATAGAAGAAACCAGACAAGTAGTGAATAGATCTTTGTTTTGATCTTCGCACAGTCACAGTGGAGCATGGAATTCCTTGTTCAGACAAACAAAGCCTCTCAACATTCAACATAAGATAATAGGAAATATGACGCCTACACAAAATAAGGAAGTGAACGAATACTTGAATTATACTGTTTTAATATATGCTTAGTTGTTTGAGGTAAACTCTTAACCAATCAACCTAAGCTGTTACAAATCTATGTTTCACAAAAAATCATAGCTTCAAATATCGAACATCGGTGCAATTATCACTAGGAAACTCTCGTTATCTTTCGAACGGTCTTTGGATATAAGAGGAGAGAAGTGAACTGAATAACATTAAGCACATACGAACTTGTCCTATGAACCCATTTACTTGCTTCCCTTTTGCAAAAATTTGATAGAAATCACTATAAATTATTCCTAAGAATGCAATAATATGAATAGTATGTTCACGTTCCTTATTTTACCAAATTATGCGTCAACAAATCTACAG